GTTTTTTTGTAAGTTGCTATTTTCTTTATTTATATATAATATAATTATATAAATGTGTATATATATTTTAAATTTTGGCTGTACTGGATCTTTGCAGCAGTGTGTAGGCTTCTGTAGTTGCAGAACATAGGCTTAGTTGCCCTGTGGCCCTTCATTCCCTGACCAGGGATCGAAGCTGTGTCCTCTGCATTCAAAGGCAGTTTCTTAACCACTGGACCACCAGGGAAGTCCCCGAGGGTGTGTCTTTATTTATGTGTGATGAATAGAAAGTGTTCTGGAAGCATGTTCACACAACTGATAACAGCGGTCACCTCTGTGGAAGTATGTGTGATAGCGGGGACACCTTCTCTCTTAGTTTGGATGTACTTAGGGTACTGTTGGACTGTTTAATGACAAAGATACATTGCATTTGTAATCGAATTTTCTTTTACTAAAGAAAACTAAAGCATCTTCCCTATGTTAAATCTCTTTTCCCTCTCTGTCTCCAATTCTGCAGACCTGTACAAGCAAAAAGGATATAGTCAGCCTCCAGGGTAAAAGTAATCCACAGTGACATTGACACATGTGACCACCGGCCCACCATACACCATACAAACCCTTGTGAGGGGCAGTCCATGAATTAAAAACAAGGAAAAAGCAAACATTGACTTCATTGTTTGTGCGAGGCACTTTCCCCATGTCAGCTGATTTGAGCCTCTATCTACACAGACAAGGAATAATTAGCCTTCATTCTACAGATGATAAATCCAGAACTTAGACAGAAGAAGTGACTTGCCCATGATCACACATAATATGTAGCAGAGCCACCTTTGTGGCTTTTCTATACCACACTGCCTCCAGGAAACTAGCTTAATACAGTTGTATTTAGGTGAAACCTAAGATCCAGAAGAATTATCATTTGGTTTCTATTTCTGCTTTTGTGAGAGACCTTTTGAGTTTATAATTTTTCTTGGCAATAGTCTTCGTGATCCTAGTTTAGAAAAATGAGGGGAGTCCCCTGGGAGGAAAGCAGGAGCCATCGGTTAATGTAATTTTTGTTGTTGTTCGATATTCATTTTATGAGCTGAATAGAAATCTTGGTAGCAGAGACGTTTTGAGTGGGAGTTGGCGACTGCAGCCGTCACAGCATTTCAAGCTTTCTCTTAGCCCCGAAGTACACCCTCATACATCATTGTCTGTTGTCTCTCAGTCTTTTCATTGGTCTAGCCCTTCTCCCCAAGTGGGAACGTGCAGGCTCCCGCCTGGCAGAAGCAGATAGGTTACAACTCTAGAAACAGTTTTGTTGCCGGGTAATACTCTACTGCCCATCTACACTGAAGATCACACGCACACACAAAATGTCAACTGGAAAAAGAAATCCACTTGATTTGTATTAAGTGACTTGATTTTCCAAGCATGTTAATCTCAAGTCTTGGCTAAATGGTAATTGGACATTTAAGGGACGACCCCAACTCTCTCAAGTGAATTTATAGGAGAAGGAAAAAAAAAAAAAACCTAGAAGGGGGAGGTCACCAAATTATTAACTATGCTTATGTGAAGCAACAAGATTTCTAGCCATTTTTCATTTCTCCTTTATACTTCTCTAGTTTGTCCCAGATTTTCCACAAGAAAATGTGTGCTCGAGTTTTAGTCTTAGTCTTTCAGTCATGTTCAAGACTCTGCAACCCCGAAGACTGTAGTTCGCCAGACTCCTCTGTCCATGGGATTCTTCAGGCAAGAATACTGGAGTGGGTTGTTATTTCCTCCTCCAGGGGATCTCCCTGACCCAGGGATCGAACCTGAGTCTCCTGCATTGCAGCCAGATTCTTTACTCGCATTTTAGTCAGACTAAATGTTATTTTTTAAATTCCAAAAAGCAGGATAAAAAGCTTTACTTGCAGTATTATCCTTGATATGTAACAATGTCCTTTAAAAGTTACTAGGGAGAAATAGCAAAAAAAAAAAAAAAAGAAATGTTTATAATGTCTGTTCCTAAGTGAAGGCATTATGGTTTGTTTTTTTTTTCTTCTTTATATGTTCATGTATTTTTCATATTCTCTCTAGGGAGTTGTACAGAATGTTTAATCTTAAGTAATAAATGTTTTTAAAAGACTGGAAATTTGATGGAGGGGTAATTCTATTAAGTTCCAAAATGCTATTATTGCTTTTATAACAATGACATATCCCCTCATTCCTAGAATAGTTGAGATTTCTCCAAGATACCTAATTTATGCTTGAAGAATAATGTATCTGTCTGTCTTTCAAGCTCTAAGTAAAAAAAATGCTCTCATTCCTCCCAAACTGATTTAAGTTCTTTCACTCATAAAATAATAATGAGCCTCCGTTCTTTAACATGTCATCTCATGATGATGCTATTTGGACAAGTTCTCATCTTTAGATCATCTCCTTTCCTTGGAAGACCTGGGACCCCAGTCACCCACACTTCCCCTCCAGATGCTGTCTCGGGCCATGTTTCATCAAAGGGATCCATACTTTTTTCTTTCTTTTTTTCCCAATATGCTTCACAGCTGGAGCTGTTTTTATGGGGTCAGTCCCGATTATTATAAATGAGATTTCACATCTGGTACGGCATGGTGATCCTTGGACTCAGCTAGCCAGCCTCTAGCTCCATTTTCAAAAGGTATCAAATGCTGGTGGTGTTGGTGAGAGAGGAAACATGATAAAGGGGTTCATGTAGGAAGGTCAGCCTTACCTTCCTAATTCTGAGACATTTATCTCTTTGTTCATCGTTGGATCTCTGAGTCAAACTTATATCACCATCCTTGCTTTAAAAAAAAAAATAGTTCCTTTGGACAGCTGCATCTAATTTGAGACCTTATTTCATTAAATACTCACAGTAAAGGTCTTTGGCAAACCTAAGAATTAATATTATGCCAGATGATTTTTTTAAAAAAACATATAAAGAGTTCCGAATTAAGACTTAATTTAAAACCAGAATTCTTTGCTTTAAATGAAAACTTTTTTTTAAAAGAGGGGATGCTTTTTCTGGGAGGAGGAAATAGTGACTGTAAACTGCAGCTGCAAATCAGAGCAGCTTACCAACATCAAAAAAAAAAAAAAAAAAGAAATCTGTTTATGGAGCTCAACATTCCTTCTTTGACACAGTAAGTAAATGCAATATGGTGACACAGGCCATTTAAGTAAATACCACCTCTAATAATAGCTGCATATCAGTTGGAAGGTATTTTTATCATGTGTGTGCTGGCTCCGCAGCCATAGACTTCATCAAGCAGAACAAAATGTGTGATCAGTCTGGCCCCATTTCAGAGAAAGAAGTGATTGATTGTTTGATCCCTGGAGGCATCGATGCTGCTTAATGGGTCCTTAGAGCTAAGAATAATGGAGAAAAAAACCCTGCATGTCATTTGATAACCTCCGTGGCTAAGGAAAAGAGGTGGGGAGAGGTAGGAGTGGAACAAGAAAAAGAGGAAATTTAATTCCCCAATTAATCTTACTCTGTTTCTGACATAATTCTGGATGGCATAGAATATTAAAAATTGGCGTGCCTCACATTCATGTTCTTCCCCTCCATTCTATCTCTTATCCATCTCTGTCAGATTTTCCCTAAAGAACGGATAAGATTCCCCAAGGACTTGTGACAGAGGAGAGAAGAAAGTGAACCATCCCTACATTTTGCAATATTTGATTTAGTTTTCACCAAAGTTCACCTACAAGGTGGTCTTATGAGATGAAAGGTACTCTCAAAGTAGTTTGAAATATGCTAACATTCTCTTGACATTTTCTTTTAGAAATGGAGCCTAATTTCCATTCCCTTGAGTGTTGGTTGGGTTTAATGACTCACTTCTACCTGATAAAATATGGCAGAAGGGACAGCCTGAGACTTCTGAAACTGAGTTCATGAGAGTCATAGTTCTCCATCTCTCTCTCTCATCACACAGTCTCAAGGAAGGCAATAGCCATGTTGTAAGGATGCTCACCCAACCTGTGGAGATGCCTGCATGGTAAGGAGCTTCTCCTAAGACCCTGCAAGGAACTGGGACCAACTACCAATAGATCCAGCCCTGTCTTCAGATGACCATAGTCCCAGCCAGCAGCTTGCTGCATCTGCAGGAGAGACTGAACCAGAGCTACCCAGGTCAGCCACTCCCTTTTCCTGAGACAGGCTGTGACATCATAAATGTTTGTTGACCTCATGGCTAAGGTAACTTTGTTGATAACTTAGCAGTTAGTTCTTCGCCTTTTTTCTCGGTGGCTAGATTTTAATACATTCCTCTTGGGCACATTGGTAGCAACTTTAAATCATAGACTTAGGTCATGATTTACTCTTCGCATTTGTATACACATATCATATCCCTGAAGCAGAGCTGTGTTCCCTAACTGCTTTTGGACAGATGTAAATATTTTTGTATCTGTCAGTCATTCAGTTGTCATATATAGTTCAGTGTGTGCGTGCGTGTCCAGTCGATTGAGTCGTGTGTGACTGTAACCCTACGGACCGTAGCCTGCCAGGCTCTGTAGCCCATCAGGCTCCTCTGTCCATAGGATTGTCCAGGCAAGAACTGGAGTGGGATCTTCCTGACACAGGAATCAAACCCCCATCTCTTGCGTCTCCCGCATTGCTAGTGGGTTCTTTACCCTCTGAGCCACCTGGGAAGCCCATAGTTTGGTAGACAGTAGCAATAATGTTTTGCCCATCTCATTCTATAGATATGTTGAAAGTGGCCTAGTTGTACCTCAGTGAACAGATTTAGTGACGGAGATGTCAGTGATCTGATCAGGATGGATGACTTTCATAATTTAGATGCAATAACATTTAAAACATGAATTAGCATCAGGGGCTAGAGATCCTCTTAGGAAGATAACTGTCTCTGGAGAAATACTGTGATGAATTTTCAAGGAAAAAGATAAGGCCCTAAGAGCTTAGATTTTGCAAGAGTTATGATGGCCCTTGGTTAAATAACCATGTATTAGAAAGAATTCCTTATAATCGTGGAGGTGGTGGTAGAAAGTTAGAGACAGGAAACCAAGAGAGAGGCTGCATCTCAACCATGGAGATGGCCGTGGTGTCTTAAAAACAGGATTGTGCAGCATTGATTTTTAGCTGTTTGAATTTCTGCAGTAGAAGTCCTGCATAAATATTCTCTAGGCTTTCAATAAAATGTCCTAGTTGTGTGAGAGATTCGTTTAATGGAAATGAAGAAGAAATAACTGACAAGGTGTGAGAACTGAGACAAGGTGGATTAATTCAGTAGAACCAGCAGCTCAGTCAGGGCTGTGGTGATTCAAACACCTGAGCCCCTCAAGGAATTTAGAGAAGTCTTGGGGATGGCATTAGACTTCTCAGAATCTACAAAGGGCAGGTCTGGTTCCAACCTGACAGCCTGGCTAACATCCACATTACCTGCATAGCTCTTTTCGGCCTTCCAAGTTGTTGTAAATCTTCAGTATGAAGTTTTGCTCGTATGCATGGGTTTTCCTTCTTGTGTGTGTTCAGAGTTCTGTCCCCTCTAGATTGTGATGTCACCTAGACTGTTTTTTTCACCAGTTTATCTACAAGATGTATTTCTAAAACAGGACTCTTTCCTGCCTTCGTGTGGGGAGTGTTTGTGTGTTTCTTGGCTTTTTCTAAAGTGTAACATACTTGAGTCTACATGACAGCTCTGTGAGGTAAACCCTGCTATTACCATCATATTACAGATGAAGAAACTGATAGTCAGTGAAGATACATAAATGTCCTGAAGACACACAACTAACAAACACAGAGGTGGGCATTCATAGTGCAGCTTGTTCAGCTCAACAGCCGACACTGTAAAGCGCCATACTATGCTGACTGCCCACGGAAAATTTTGCGAAGCATATCCCAAAGAAGCATAAAAGAGTTGATAATAAAGCAATGGATTGGGGATCAAGCAGAAAATGATAGAGAGCTGAAATGATTAAAACAGTATATTATGTAAATACTTGAATAGAAGAGAGCATTGTCCCCAGGGGTCAACTAGGAAAGGCTTCTTTAAGGAAGTGGGACTTGAGACAGATGCTGAAGGGTAGACAGGGCTGGGGGAGGCAGAAAACACCAAAGGGATTACCATCAGAGAGATGGAAACGATCTGACATACTTGTAGGAAAACTGGCCTGTCCAGAGTAGAGGACGGAGGCTGGCTTATTGGCATAGAAGAGTAGGTGAACGTGGAGGGGAGAGGGAAGGGATGGAGGATCTTGGAGGTCAAGTGAGCAATGAAGAGCTTTAGGGCTGTGGTGGCTCAAAGCATTTTATGGTCAGGTTTACCTTTTTTTAAAAAATTGTTTTATTTATTTATTATCGTTTGCACTGGATCTTAGTTGCTACATGTGGGCTTTCTTTAATTGCAGCTTTTGGGGTCTGGAGCATGGACTCAGTAGTTGTGGCACACAGGCTTGGTTGCCCTGTGGCCTGTGGGGTCTTCCCAGATCAGGGGTCAAACCTGTATTCCCTGCATCAGCAGGAGGACTCTTAACCACTGGACTACCAGGAAAGTCCAGATGCTCTTCAGATGTCATCATGACCTACTGAATGCTTCCCATTTAGGAGCAGGGATCGTTTCTTATTCTTTCCACTGTCTGCCCCCATTCATAGCACAGTACCTGACATCCAGAGGCAGTTGTTTATAGATGAATAATAAAGAATAAATGAATGATCCAGAAATGAAGACAGGAGCAGTGGGAGCGCAGAGTAGGGTGGTGTCAGATACACCTGACTGCCCGCTTATTTTCCACTCACTGTTTAAGTATCTTTGGGTGTGGCTCTCCCTAAGCCTCAGTTTCCTTATCTACAATGTAAAATGAATAGCAGATGTAACCTCTTTGTGATCTGGGGGGGCTTTAAATGAAATAACGTGCATACAACATTCACCATCATGTCTCCTATATAGTAAGCCCTCAATACAATACATTAATCTCACAAATCAACTTTAGTGCGTCTAGACCAAGAGAATATAAGCCATAGAAATTAGGCAAAATCTTGGGGAGAATGGTAAACCTTCCTCAGAACTTAGGATAGGGCCTTAAGACTTAATTTTGGTTAAGTCTCAAGGGGCATGCTCACCTCTTGATTTTAATTGGAAAAATGCATAGGAATGTGATGGTGAAGGGTCTTGAATGCTCTGCTAAGGATGTTGTTGAATAAAGCAGTGACAGTCCTGTATCTGTTTTAAAAAGATCTTTGGCTATGTGGGTAATGCCTTAAGGGACAACAGGACTCAGGGAGTTGACTACAAGGCTACTGCAGTAGTCCTAGTGAAAATGATGAGGGCTTAAATGAATGCTGTGACTGTGGGGATGGAGAGAAAAGGTTTGATTTAAGAGGCTGGGAGAAGGAATTGCACTGGATTTGAAGACAGAGTGAATGTTGTGGGCAAGATAAGGAGAGAAGGCAAGGACCACAGAGGAATATTTGAGCATGTGGGTGACCAGTGATGCTGGGGACAGAAGACAAGGCAAGGGCTGGGATAACTGAGGATTTCAGCTTAGGCAATCAGGTGATTCCTTTAACCAAAATAATAAATAAGGGATAAGTTTGTTTTATCTCCTTTTAGTAATTTTTAACAGTTCTACACAAGGAAGCCTGCCCCTGACTTGCCTGAGAAAGTTCCAATGAATGTCCCCCAACCGCACCAAAAAAGAGAGAGAGTAAGGAAAAGAAAAAGACTTTAAAAAGTCCTCATGTTTGCATTTCACCTGGCACCTCTCTCCACCCTATATTTCACCTCTGGCTTGAGAAGGGAGAACTTTGCCCCAGGGAGGCCCATAGTTATAATGAAAATTCCTGTGTAACAGTAAATCTTCCTACCTTCAACTGATGACCCACTTAGAAGAAATAAGATTCAAAAGAAGTCACAACTGGAATCAAATTCCTCCCTAACGTGAGAATCAGCCAGTGCATTTGTTTGTGTGTGCCTGTGTGCACACTTGTGAGTGCTGGTGGGTGAGTGCCTCGCCCCTCATTTACATACGCAGACATAGAACACACAGTAGTTTAGAGATGTCTCTTTGAGTGGGTCTTGGTGTCACCATGGTAACATGAACGGAAGCAGTACTCCCAGTCACTTAGGGAAAACCTGCAGTTTGTGATACGCACCTGTGGAGAGATTTCAGCTACCATGTGGACCATTATAGCATGTGATGCTCAAATACCCTCCTGGGTTCTGTTTATGTTTGGCTGCTTCTAATCTGGCTCATATCTGCTGTTTCAATCAGCCTTTTCCCAGGACCATAGCACTCCAGCTCTCCTCCTGGTCCTTGATGCTGAACAAGCCTTCTCTATCAAGGTCTATGGGCTGCTGTGAATTGAGCCTTTCCCCACTTAGGTGACTTTGGTGCAGAAATAACTTAACAGTTCTTCTATAGCTTAAAGATGGGCTTCCCAGGCAGTGCTAGTGATAAAGAATCTACCTGAAATGTAGGAGACCCAGGTATGATTCCTGGGTCAGGAAGACCCGCCCTGGAAAAGGAAATGGCAACCCACTCCAGTATTCTTCCTGGAGAATTCCATGGACAGAGGAGCCTGGCAGGCTACAATCAGTGGGGTCACAAAGAGTTGCATATGACTTAAGTGACTTTCACTTTCACTTTTCATTCTTTAATGATATTTGAAATTATATACCACTAAAAGTAGTTTTAGAGAAAACAGGCTTCAGAATGCCAGGAAAATTCATTTCTCAGGTTATTTATGTATGTGCTCATGAAAATGACATGTCTGTGACCTACAGACTCAAAATACCAAGTCAGAGGTCAGTTACATGTGGGGGAGGTTTCAGAAATGCCCTACTCGTTCACTCCAAAAGAAAATCGATCTGGCCTTTAGTATTTTTCTTAGGAGAATTGGAAATAGTATTCATTAGAGAAATCTACTTTCCTCCAACTCCAGTGGGACTTCAAATTTTCCAATTGTACTTAAATATTGTGTCTCTGGTAATGGCTGTCCTGAGGGAGAGCTGCTTCCTTCTGGATAACATTCAAATAATCTTCCAACACTTCTGTCTGCTAAAACTGGTTCAAGAATTGGATTTACTTAAGAATTCATCCTAAAGTACCAAATCATTACTTTTGCTGTGTCATCTGTATATTATATCATCTACGAATGTTGTTATGGGC